CTCATCTTTTCAAAATGAAACACATTCTGATTTTACTGTATCAAAAATGTTGGTGACTGAACTTAGCATGTTAATTTAATATTGCCACATGATAACTTACATTTACCATCATGGCGGCTCAAACAGTGACATGTAGATGGAAAGAGTCACAACCTGGAAGAGAAACCCAGTGTTTGAGTGATTTTTTTTTTTTTTTTAAATAATGATTTAGTGATATTTCACCATGAGTTCATAATTTTTATGTATTTGTTTATTTTTAAAGATATTTTTCAACAAAGGAAGAAAGTCTTTGTCTATCTATCTATAGTCTTTGAATTATGTGTGCAACTAGGACAGTCAGGGACATACAAATTTGACATCTTTCTCTCTTCTGACCAACGTAATCAATCTTTCAATAATCTTTTCCTCTTTTGGAAAGTCATAGAAATGCTTTTTTTTCCCTTTTTTATTGAAGCAAACAGGAACACAAAATATAGCTATATCTGTTGTATTTTGTTCACCACTTTAGAAGTTCATCAACTGATGACTCCGAAAACCCCAGAGATGTCAAACTAAAGGGTCCATACCTTTTGTTTCATCGCTGCATGACTCTCCTTTCACGTTTACCTTTGTGGCTCATACAGTGGCATGTAGATGGAGAGTCATGCACAGAAACACTTTTTTTTTTTTAGAAAATCATGATTCATTCTGCACTTTAACATACATTAATACAATATTTAGAAGTAACATTCAGATTATGGAATACAAATGTGGGTTACATACCATGTTCATTTCTTGGTGTTCAGTGACCTTTCTTACGCTTTTGCCCCCGTCACTCAAACCTGATGGGAAGAGTCATGCACAACAAAGAACAGAGAAGATCTATATTAGAGGTTTTTTTTAAGTGAAATTTGTTTCAACACAAGTTAGTGTTTAGTTTATGTATTTAGATATTTACCTTAGGAAGACAGATACTGTGTTTGTCCTATAACGTCTGCCTCCTTCCTTGAACTTGAACTTTACAGTTACATTTGATCACTTAAATTCACATTTATCACTGACCTGCACGGCATGGATTCGGTATATAGAATAAATAATGACAACAATAGCAAAAGTCAAAGTTTTGCTTCAGTTAAACAGCATCTGAGCATAATTCGAATTAAAACATAAAAACATTTCCATCTCCATCGTCAGAGTGTTTTGATACGAAACGCATATCATCTGATCACTTTAACACAATTTTTTTTGCATCACATCATAGGTAAAACAGGCAGCATCTACGGTTTCTGTCATATTTCACGTCAACTTCCAACTTGGCCAAGCTAATCGCATTAAAAATATTTAGGTTGAAAGTTTGTTTCCAAACGCAAGAGGGCAGCAGAGATGTTTTTTGTCAACTCCAAAAAAAAAAAAAAAAAAAAAAACTAATTTTAAATATTAACACCACTTCAATAACAACAACAAAAAAGTATAAAATAAAAATATAGCCACATACAGCCATAATCAGGGTCCAAACAAATGTTGTGTCTGGCAACTGATAAATATGTAGGCTAGGCTATTCTCCGTTTTTCTCAGTCGCTTGGTACACATAACACATTACCTGCACAAGCCAGTCTCTTGCTCAAAATCCTTAGATCATCTCTCAAAAGTAAATATCTGTGTCAATGAACATGTCAGTGCCATCAGAATGACAAGTCCTTGTGTCATTACGCTTAGTCATGTTGTCAATATAACAGTGTACTGGAGATGTTCTGATGTAAACTTATGGCTAAAGTTTTGATGACAATTATTGTAAATTGTAGGTTACACCTTAGTGTGTGTGGGAGTTTGATTGCAAGAGACTGGACAAGATTCACATTTACGCTTTTACTGTTTGTCAGGCTACTGTAATTTGTTGACAGACCAAGTTATTGCGATACAGAAAAGAAAAGACAGCACTGATAGCACAAAGAAAAAAAAACTAAAATAGAAATGTGAACAGGACAGATTTAGAAAAAAAGTCTAATGGAAATGAACAGAATATGCTTGATTATGACAACTTGTTCAACCATTTTGCATGTAAAGACTTATGCTATGAACTAATGCTTGAATGTTGTGAGGGGTGAGACAATTCAACAGAGACCCATTATAATACATTTTGATCAACATGACATAAGCAACTGACAATGTAGGAAACTGCAGAGAATTGTACATAATCATTTGCATGGATGTACCAAAGCATTTGCAACTTGTTCAAAGAAATGAGAAACTGTTTTTTTGATGTGCACAAGTTACACAATGATGTGAAGATTGAACAGGTTTGAGAATTTCAATTCTGATCTGAGAAATGTAGCAAAGCGACTGAGAAAAACTGTAAGATATTTATAAAAATGTAGATAATATTTAGGGATCTATAAGCCTACTGTAAGTGTACCTTGGTTTTTAAAAATGAATGCATTTGTTACACATGTAAAGCATTTGAACCATTTACACTGATGTCAAACCATAAGATCTATAAAACCGTGTATGAGAAAAGTAGACATATTTATTATCCTGTATAAGTGGCCCTCTAGTGGACAAGTATACAGCTTTCTTCTGTCATTCACACTGATATAAATGGCTGATAACACGTAACCCGCCAGCATCATTCATTTATATTTTGAATGTTTCCTCAAATTGTTCTGTTATTCATTTGCATAATTGTTTACGATGTCTGGACATTGTATTTACAAGAAATAAGCCAATTAGTCATTATGGGCCACATCATCTGAGATATCCAAAAATCCATCAACGATTAAATGAATGTCATTTGATGACTTTTTGTAGGAGTAGCCTCTCAAAATGGTGCATACCAAAATTTTTGTAAACAGGACAAACAGGCTATGGTTTTAAATAAGAAGGGTTTAGAATAGATAGATAGATAGATAGATAGATAGATAGATAGATAGATAGATAGATAGATAGATAGATAGATAGATAGATAGATAGATAGATAGATAGATAGATAGGAATATATGATTTGAAGGGACCGAACTAAAGGAAGTTAGTCATCATGAATGATTCCATATAGCAAAAATGTATAGCCTAAATTAACTCAGTTTCTCTGAATTGCTAAAAACCATTTTGAAACCATCACCCACTTTCTCAAAACCAAATCTTCAGACTACATTCGAGAACATCTGACTCTTCTCAACATTTGCCCCAAAACCATGTTATCTGTCCTCAAAATCAAACAATTCTTTCAGATCAGACACACATGAGTCAATATTATAAACACTACAGATCATTCATTAGACAAAACATAAAAAAATAGACAACACAGCATCAACTTACAGAGGTGAATAAATTGTATATGTGCTGCAAGTATAGTATTGTACTGAATATAGTATTGAATGTCTGTATATTCAGCACTTGAATCCTGTAAAAAAATACAGTAACCCAACTGCAAAAAAATTAAAAATAAACTCTACATGAAAAGCATGTTACTGTACACTAAAAAAAAAAAAAAAAAATCAAGGTCAACAAGAGATTCATTCTGCCTCAGCGTCACGTCTTCGGTCCAGCCTGAGGACTGTCCACATCACAGGCAATGTCATCTCTCGCCAGGCAAAGCCTTGACAACACTGTCCACGCCTTGCTCTTTCTCGTCTTCATCCTCTTCCTCCTCGTCTACCACCTCTTACTCGTACTCTTCCTCCTCTTCTTCTCAGATTGTTTCATCAGTTGATATCATCATTCAGTGCACCCGTGTCCTCTGAGCTGGCCAAGTTATGTTGTACAGCTGGCTTGATCTCATCATTAGAAATAAGTGTGAACAATCTTGAGTCGTTGTGTGTAAACGATGACAACTGTGTTGTAGTTGTGTTTAACTTTTGCCTGCCTGTGCTTAGCGTTTTGAAACAAGTGCATCACAGTGCGAAATGTGTTTTAGTGAGTGAGAATGTGTTTAGAGTTTAACAAAAAAAGTGCCTGAGTTTTGCAATTGGCGTCTAACTGTCTAAGCTTGTTTAAGAAAGAGTGATTTATTTGACAAATTGGTTTAGGCTATTGAGAATTTGGTTCAGAGAATGGGATTTAGTGTTTTAGCAATTCAGAAAAACTGTAATAGCCTATGCATAACAATCAGTCATTCACAATGCAGTTTATTAGCGGCTGACCCAGACAGCAATAGTGTCGGCTCAGATCCGGGCCACATCTGGTACATGTGGAGTCCACGCATACCAGATGTGGGCCGGATCTGGGCCAACACTATGTTGCCATCTGGGGAATAACTTGTGACCAATTTTTAGATATAGCGTTCCCTATGATTTCCATGCAACTTGTCATGCTTCCTCAGAATGACCTGTTGTCTGAGTATAGTTAAGATATTGCCTTAAGCTGATCAAATAGTCAAAATAGGCGATGTCAGACCATTTAATTGGCTTATTGGCTTAGCAACGCTTTGTTAAACCAAAATTCTGTTGATAAGTTTAAAGTAGGCTAAATGCTAATTACATTTAGGCTAAGAATTATGAGGTTCTTGAAGCCTATATTCGGCCACATGTAGGCCTAATATTAACCACATTTAACCTTTTTTTTTTTTGCACATTCCACTTTTAATATTTTACTCATGGCATTAATAAGTGTTCGTGGACACAGCACGGGTTATGAATGAGAGTGGGATTTCTGTGTGTGTGTGTGTGTGTGTTGGTCCTGTAATGAGCGGAGGCTCTATTCACAGCTCAGTCCCGTTACCTCATTGACATTCAGTCCCAGTGAGAGAGACAGACAGAGAGTAAGAAGACAGACATTGTCCGGGACAGAGACAGCGACGAACGAGCCGCTCGAGATCTACATACCGACAGCAAATGGACATTTTAGGCGGAATGAAGATTAAAGTTTGATGTGAGCATGAGTGCATGTGATCTGAAGAACAATGAGCACTGAATGTGTTCTGACCTGGATTCAGTGAGGAGTTTGGGAGAGACGGGGTGAGGGGTGGAAGAGGGATTTACTGGGTCAAACTAACTAAACTACCCCCACCACTGAAGGGAAAGTCATAGAAGGAAAAGTGCAGCGACCAAGAAGAAAAAACACCAGACAAAGCGGTGAGGAAACGATGAACACTGAAAAGGTAGGAAAATTACTCAATGATACACAACCTCTTGCCAGTAACACACTGTAGTTCTTTCAATTAATTAAACGAACAAGCTGCTAAATGACTCACAGTGCAACAAGTGCCATTTGAACAAATATTAAAAATGCGAATGTTTAGTCAACGTGATTAGCATTGTAAATGGCAACGAGCTGATAAAGTTGCATTGCTTTTTTCAGCCCTGTGAATTATTGCATTAAGAAGCAGCAATGCTCTACTAAAATGTCACTTTCATATCATGTTTTCCTTACAGCACTTTGTTAAATTGTGTGTATAATTAGCAGAATCTACTCGTCATTTTTACCTCATATATTTAGGCCTAATCTCAATATAATATCGCAATTACATCACTTTAATCACTAGCTCTATTAGGGAACAGGTGTCAACAATGAGAGAAATATGTGAAAACATTACAGACAACAATTTTTATGTAGGCTGCATAAAAATGTTCGTTAAAAAATGAATGCTGTATGATATTATGGAATGTGGCACTATACAGAAATATGCAGTGACACAATTATATCTTCAGTGAAGACTCAAGTTTGATTAAGTAGAAATACAATCTGTTTTTGTGGTGTTAGTCCTAAAGATTCATTTTCCAAAATCTATGTGTTTGTTTTGAAGTTATATGCTATTGTTCTCATAAACACTGAGAAAATGGACTTTGAGCATATGAATTCACTTAAAATTTACAGTTTTTCTCTTAAAAGAAAACGGATAGAAATACAGATAACTCACGTTGCACTCGGGGCTGCTTACACATTTTTGTCCATTCAAATGCAAGAATGTCCTTCCCCCAAAACCACTTGCTTTTAACTGAATTTCAAATAGCAAATCATGGTTCATGGGTGTAATGTAAACAAAAACTTATTGACTCTTTACAATAAGGGATGAGCCCTTTACTCTTTAGCTGTTTGTCACTGGGGTAGTACCCTCAAAGTGACATCTTTGTATCTTATTTACCCTAAAAGGTTCATAGTAATGCCTTATGGGTACATATTACTACTCTAATGTACTTTTGGGGGAAATATAAGGCACAAAGTTGTCCCTTTAAGGGAACTGCCCTGGTGACTAGCTGTTGTACTACCCTAATGGCCAGGACACATTGTACAATCTTGGGCTGTCCGAGACCAAAGATGGCCAGTCGTGGTGATTTCTGTGGTCGTGAGAGAGGTTCAAAGACGACCCAAAGATAGCCTGCGATCATTTTCTGACAGTGTCAGAGATTTAGCATGATCACCTCACAGTGTGTTTGCTGCTACGACCGACGTCTACTGACTAGCTAATCAAAATGCAACATGAAATGGTGTATTGATCAATGTGACATGGCGCTAAAACTTAAAACTTCTTACCTCAAGCTCCATTTGCAAGATTGGCATGCCAAGTTGGCCTCTTTTCCCTAGCCATGACCTCGTCCATATTCTCCTCTTTCACTTCCACATCGTTTTTTCAGCGCACATAAAAACCACAATTGCCAAAGGTCGATTTATCTTGCTCTATTTGTTCACCTCTGGCGAATGCTGAAGACGTTTTATTCTTCTATACTAACTTGCGTCATAGCCTACGACTCAATAGGCCTCATCATCGTACAGTCGTACCCAAGTTTATCAGATCCATGTTGTACAGTGTGATTTGTATTGATCTTATAGGATTGCTGAAATCACACAGTCTGTAGCAGGCATAAAGGTACAACATGCTGTGAATTGTGGGTGAATCACTGAACTATTAGTCAATCATCTGCTCTCATTAGCTTTGTTTCCATCCAGCTATTTTTATGGGAATTTTCGATGTAGTAAAAAAGAGACACATTGGCTTCCCCAACTGCAGCAAACTTCCATTTTTATTACATCAGATATTTTGCGTAAATTTCCCAGGAAGTGACGGTTTTGTTCTCTTGAACACATGGAATGGGAATAGTGCTTTATTGGCAAATGTTTTATGTGATATTCCAATTGTGCGCAAAAGTTAAATTCGCAACTTCGTTCGGATGGAAACAGAGCTAGTGTGAATCAAAGAAAACCGAGAAAGAGAAGACGGGAAATGGAAGTGTCTGTTATTTTTTGTCTCACTTGATCATTTAGGTCAAATTCTTCCTCCTAATCTTTCTCTAATAACACGCATGAGAGCGCTGACCTGGTGTAAACACTGGCCTTCAGAGCTGAAGCTTTATGTGATGGGTAATCCTGACTGGAATCTTTTATTCGGGATCTTTCCAGAAAGGGAAAGCGCAGTGTTTGTTCAGCGGCGTGACTCTTGCACTTGGACTGGGGAAGAGTTGCTCTCCTCCAGGGCACTATGGCATGTCAGACTCAATTTCATGAACTTAAGACATGCAATAACAGTGTATCAGGGTGGCTCTGGCCAGACTCAGACTATGAAATCTCTTGAGGTTCACTAACAGGGGTGGTCTTTATTTTGAAGTTCACAAAATAAAAAATACTAACAGTTCCACGAAATGTCAAAAAACCTAAAACATGCGTCATCTAACAATAATTATTCAGGTAGAAATATTATGACTTAAGTCAACCGGACTTCAGCAAATCATTTTTGGGGGCATGTTCTGTATATCAGAGATTAGATCTTCTAGCAGAAGGATGCAATTTCATTAATTTGATTCATAAAATAAAGTTTTAATGAAAATGTGTGCCATTAATGATTTTGAACCCTTTACTGTAACCCCCTTTTTGAGCAAAAATAGCAAACGCACTATCCAAACTTAAATGGACATAATACAGACCTCAGGTTGGTCTCCCTTTCAAGAAGACACTCGGCAGATTATTGCAGACATACACTTACAAAAAATGAAAGTGTAAAAAAGTTATAGAAGTTTTTAAGTTTACTGTAAAATGTTTTTACTGTACTAAACATTTTTTATTTGATAGAAAATATATATTTCACAATATCACTTCTATCACAAAAAAGTCACCAAATATGAAACCTCGAGTCTCAAAATATGTGATAGGAAAAAGCAAAGACAATAAAAAAAGAGCACCAAGTGTCCCTGTAGTTGACAGTTAAAGGGTTAATATGTAGTGACGGTTTAAAAAAAAAGGGATATATTAAAAGATGTATGTAAAGGACACCCTATTTTACCTGCAAATACACAGTATACTCACATGAAGCCATATATAGCCTACAGAAAATCTCAACTGAACTAAACTATATTATCGCGCAGCTCTTTGTATAAAGTTGAATACATAAGTATGTCCAACTTTATCAGTATACATGCGTAGAGCGATACATGCTATAGCAAATCTCAACTGCGTGATTGCTTGTACCGTCTCAAAATGTAAACTATAATATTCCACAGCTAATCTGTTAAATGCGCATAAGGCATGAAGATATTATGATATAACCAATAACTTCATGATTTCCTGTAATCAAACAATGAAACAATGTGTATTGTGAAAAGTGCTATAAATACAATTAGATTTGCCTTGATAAAAGCAACATGGCCCTTTTATGCTCCTGCACGCCTAATGCATTTTTGCTTAAACATGACAGTCAGATTCCTGCATAAAAATTCCTTTCTTTTATATGGCTTTTATTTGGGTTGGGTCTGTTGGTGACATACTATAGGATGCAGTGATATTTTAGACGATTCTTTTCTTCCAAGATTGTGACACTGGTTTCCTGTTTTCGAACGACTATATCTCCGTGCACATCCATGCCAAAACGGTTTGTCAAGACAGGTGTGGAGGATCTTGACCGAGTCCAAACTTGGCCTGTGACTGCGAGCCTGGACTAAACACACAATCACACAATGCCTGACCTCTCTAATGCGATTGTGATTGAATAGAAGCAAATCCCTTCAGCAATGTTCCAACATCTAGAGGAAAGCATTCCTCAGGCGACCGAATTCACAATAATTACCGTGTTTTAGAACATCTAAATATTCTAGTTACAATTGCTTAATTTTCCAATAGAATTTGTGATCAGTTATTATTGATGAATAGTGCATACTGTGGTTGAAATCATTATGATGTTCCCTTTTGATGAGCTCGTACCATCCCAAATTCAAGGCAAATAAAAAAGCAAATTAAATGATCTCACTTTCTTGCTCTCCTTCTCTCCATATAGCCAGTTGTGCTGTGATTTACGTCTAAAAGAAAGGTGAACTGAAGCTGGAGAGAGAAGCACAATGTCACGCTCAGATGAGGTCAACAAGATGACAGAAAATGTCTACAAGGTAAGACTAAAGGAGACAATGAAAAGACTATTGAAGACGATAAAAGGAGATGTCTATAAAAAATCTAGTGTTAAACACGTGCCAAGTTCATAGAAATGTAATTATTTGTTGTATGTTTTATGTGTAAAAAATCCCCCAAAACATATATATAATGCCAAAGGTTCTCTTAAAATTATGAACAAATAAGTTACATTAATAAAACGTTCACTCAGTTATAGTCTTTAACAACGTTATCAAAACATTAGCACAGAAATGTTATTTATACATCAATCATGGGACACTTTTTTTGGAAACATTTTAGACAACAATTTAAACGTTACTATTTACTACTTTATTTTCAGATGGTTCAGAGAGCATGCAAAAGTAGCATTCCCATAATATCTGCAAAATAATCAAATCTACTGTTCACATAACCAAGAACAAACATTTTATTACATCTAAATAACTGGATGTTTTGAATGCTCTGAGAACTTTCAGAAATACCTTTGTAAAATATTCTGGCTAGACATTTTTACCTTTAAATGCCACAAAACATTTATTCTAAATGCATATTTGCATATTCTTTGTCTGTATGAATTGTATTTTTATATGAAAATTTTGAACAAAAATTTGCTTCACAACATTGACACTTACAAAATCCCTCTTCATGTATTACTTTATCCTGTTATTATGACACTGAACAACATTTTGTTAAATTAAATTAGTTGTTGAATTTGGTTTTGTTGGTGTAACCTATTATATTTAGTTTGATTCAGTAATGTGAAATACATTTCTTTTGAATAAAATCAATTAATTTAGATGTTAACACATTAACCCATTTTTTCAGTGCAGCCAAAATGGGTATTTATCCGTTTCTTCCATCCTTCTGTTTCAGTAATATAATTAATTACAGATCAAAATGTGTACAGTTGTTTCCTAATTTCAATTCTATGTTCAGGGCATTCTGGACCAGTTTAACCCCAGTCTGAAGAATTTTGTCACGATGGGGAAACACTATGAAAAGGCTCTGACGGGTCAGACACTTAAATAGTTCACTTTTTTTCTGGGCTAAAGTCCACAGGAAATCAGTGTCACTGACTGAAATCCCTGACTCTGTGTCTCCGTCTCTCTGACTGCTCCACAGGCGTCACAGTCGCAGCTAAAGGATACTTTGACGCTCTGGTGAAACTAGGAGAGCTGGCCAGTGACAGCCAGGGCTCAAAAGAACTGGGTAAGTTAATGCAAGTACATTTACAATTAAAGTATTTCCACTTAATAATGTCAAGAGATTAGGCTCAGCTCACAGCATGTTTTGTGGATGGATGGCAAGAGTGTATGTTAGAATTTGAACTGTTATTTTATGTGCTTTTGAGAAAGATAAGTAACAGAGAGAGAGCTTTTAGTGACGGTTACGAGGGATTTTTTTTAAGGTGGTGATGATTGGTGGATGATTGGATGATTTTTAAGGTGGAGTCTGTAGTCCAGGGGTGTCAAACTCAGTTCCTGGATGACCTGATCTTTTAACACACCTAAATCAAGGGCTGTGTCCAAAATAGCTTATCCCTACATTACTGCACTAATATAGTCCACTTGAAGGAGTGAATGAAAACGAGTGAGTGAATTAACATTGAGTGCACCGGAAGGGCTGCCGCTTTTGCATAGTTAGTGTGGTTCAATAATCATTTAAAACTTAGCAAACTGGCAGCTCTAGTAGTAATGAAAAAACTCTATGGCATGAATAAACCTTAATTAAACAATTTAATAATCAATTCAAAGGGAATTTATCCTTGTATGATATTACGCTGTATCCACATTGGACCAGCGGTTTGGAAAATGGATGGATGGATGATTCAGCTGCGGAATCTTTTGGTGAGACGCGGGATTTCATTCGGCACGACCATCACAGTGCATTATGGGTATTCTCTAGCCATTGAGCGTACATCAGTTGTACACTTGCTATTGCGGTGCATTGTGGGATTGAATAAGTGCACAAGACAATGTCCACAATGGTTTCGGACACCACTACAAATGGCTGTTCCCTCAAATAGTGCCCTTTTATAAGGGTGATTTCGGACACAGCCCAACTCTTCAGAATCACTAAAATCTGTGTTTTGGAGCTAAAATCTGTAAGACTGTGGCCCTCAGGAGCAGAGTTTGTAATCAGAAACAAGCTGCTATTAAGACTGTTGTTTCAATAAAAGAGCAAATAGTGTTGAAATATATTACGCTATAGGATTATTATGTTATATGACCTAAATCGAATTCTTCTGTGAACTAGTTGCATCACTACATCATTAATAATTGCCTAAAAAATACATAGAGCAATTGATTCTAAATCACACCAGTCCCCATGATTTAGATCCACTGTTATTTTAGTATCATTGAGATATTTTATACTTTTTATTAATATTTTGAATTAGATTTCATTTTAATATTTTCTGTTTTCATTTTAATTTCAGTTAGTTTTGATCATTTTGTTGTGTTTTTGTCTGTTTTAGTTTTTCTCTAAAAATGTGTATATAGTTTTTATTATATATTTTTATATTTTATTTTCTTTCAATATAACATTTATTTTCTTTCAAGTAACAATTTTTTTTTTTTTTTTTTTTTTTTTTATAGTTATAGTTTTTAGTTAACTTTAGTAACCCTTTTTAGATCAGGGCTATTCAGATCTGTTTCTGGAGGGACATGTCCGGCAGAGTAAAGTCAGTGATTGTGAATATGTAAGTAAATATAACTACATTGTTTTAAGTTCACGGTACATCAGAGTGTACAGGAAACGAAAGCGTGGAAACAAATGACTGCAGTAGAAGAAAATGAAGAGGCAAGCCTGTACAATAAAATGTAGATGAAGAAACTAAGAGAAAGCGAGAGAGGGGCAAGAGAGAGAGAAGGGGCTTTTGTTGAAAGATTAACAACACCACATGATCTCATTGTACTGCTGAACACAGCGGGGGTGGATGAGAGGGAGGGAGAAAGGCAGCGGAGGAGAGATGCCAAGTTTCACACACACAGTTGCTCAGTAGGGGATAAAGAAGGCCAACATCCACAGCTCGGCCCACTGGAACCAACAACAAAACACGCCACACATTTTCACCTTCAATGAAACTTAAGAATGGACAGACATTGCCACGAGTATCACATGCTCTAAAGGAAGAAATTGTTCTCTTCAATTCTGTCCTGACAAATATTTTCTTAAAAATATAGGTTTCAAAAGGGGCGATGCCAAAGAACCTTTAAGTCAACATTTCTTAAAAGAACCAGTTTGTAGTGTGAAGAACATTGTTACGTCCCTTCACTGTTGATAAAAGTCTAGGAGTTGGAAGGGGAACATTATGTCACCCGTCAACCATATTTACTAGTATAACACTGGGAAAGCAAGTGAAACGAGGAAGCAGCAGAACGTTTGAACACATTTATTGTGTGCAACAACTGGCCGAAATATATATCTATATATAAACATATATAGATTATATGAAAGAAAACAATTGCAACAAAATAGTTATTTGCAATCAATAAACGAAATCAAACAAACCAGCAAATTATATTATTATCCCAGACCTGGGAAGGAAAAAGGGAATAATTGGACAGTGCAAACTCAAAGTAATAAATATAAAACAAAAATAAGATTAAAATTTTAATAAGCTAAAAAATAAGAATGAAATTTTAATAAGCTAAATAACGATTTTCCACTATGAAGAACCTTTTGTGGAATGGACAAGTTCTGTAGATGTTAAAGGTTCTTCATGGAACCGTTGATGCCAATAAAGAACTTTCTTTTCTTTTTTTATGATCCTATAGTTTAAGATCATTCCAACATATTAAGATGTTTTGACAGGTCAAGTCCAAGCTGGAGAAAGCAGTCTGTTAGCTTTCCCAGAGCTTTCCCCTGCCATCTTTACTCAGTTCTGAAAAGAAAAAGAAAATACATACTGTTTAAATCAGGCACCGGGGATGAATACATCTGCTATAATATGATAAAATCCCTGTATAAAATGTACATGCCTGCATTTGATTGGCTGTCAAAGGAGAAATTTACCTGCATATTGGTGCATTTACAGCATCTGTTTACTGAATAGGTCAGAGAGTCAAGCCACATTTATTAATAAAGCGCTTTATACAATACAGATTGTTTCAAAGCAGCTTCACAGTATTAACAATTAATTTTCAAAATACAATTTCAGCTGTAAAGCAGCCCTATAAAGACAATAGTGTCATTTTCAGCTCAGTTTAGTTCAATGTTTATTCAATTTAGTTCATTGGTTGTATCAAAGTTGCAAAGTTATGAAGTGAACTCAATTCAACTATAAAGCCGCTCTACACAAGATCATTATTGAGCTCAAGGCAGTTCAGGGTTCATTTAGTTTAGTTTAATGAAGTTGATCAAATTCTGAAACAAGCTTAAATTCAGCTATAAGCATCTCTACAGAAGGCAATAGTGTCGTCATTCTGTGCAATTTAGTTCAAGGTTTGTTCTGATCCAATAGCATGAAGTTGTTACATTACATTAAAGGGATCGTTCACCCACTGTCATTTACTCACCCTAAACCTGTATGAGTTTCTTTCTTCTGCTGACCACAAAAGAAGATATTTTGAAGAATGTGGGTAACACATTCGTAATTGATGGACCCCATTGACTTCCATAGTATGAAAAAAAAAGTCAATTGGGACCAGAAACTGTTTGGTTACCCACATTCTTCAAAATATCTTCTTTTAAGTTCCACAGAACAAAGAAACTCATACAGGTTTAGACCAACTTAAGGGTGAGTAAATGACAGAATTTATTTTTGGGCAAACCATCCCTTTAAAATCTAGCCTTAAAATGAGCAAATGTGACCTTAATGGAGTCAGCTTCGATGTGAGTGAGATGAATATTAGATGTCATTATCAGGTTGTGTATGATAGTATGTTTGATAATACATTTGATATAGATCTCGTGCTTTAAGTTTTCCTGATTGTGCACAAAGTCTTTGACACGTCTTCCCATTATTTCCTACTTATTCAGGCGACACATTATTCCAGATGGCAGAGGTTCATCGACAGATCCAGGTCCAACTAGAGGATGTGGTAAGTAGAAGAAAAACGTGGTGGTCTGCTGCAAAAAAGTTAAGTTTTTCTTGAACATTCTTTCATACATACCAGAGAAAATATGCAGTGAGACAATTAATAATTCCTGTAGCAGGTAGTGCCAAACGTTACGGGAACTACAGTTACGATTGCAATTTGACGCTTCTCAATTTTAGTGCTGCTGACACAGTAGCTAAGTTTCCATCCACTTGTCAATCGAATTATCTAAAGTTCGGTAAAAAAAAACGAATGCGAATAAAGCTGGTGAAAGTGTGTTTCCATCCAACGGCTTTAAAGCGAATAAAAACCTGTGCGTAATGCCATCACATGCTGTTTTGCGATCAAATTGGTATATCGAATTGATTTGAGACATTTTAATGTGTTTCCATTAATTTTCACATTGAATCGCACAACATTCAAGCAAACATTTGCGAACAAAGTTTTGCTAGACAAAATGGATCGGGCCATCTACCAACAAATGATCAATATTGCACGAGTTGTAATAGCGCTTATGCGATAGCGACATATCAAGCTATAATAAGAAAACAACACATTGCTATGATTATGCAGATGCACGTAAATGCCCGACGACAACGGATGCCTCCTCGTTTGTCCACTTACATCTGTCTTTGTTGACACCAGCGATGTGTGCGCAAACAGAGTGGAAATACTTGGCGGAAATGAACTAAAACTTCTTCTATGTTGCAATATATCCTGTGTAGCAACCATAAAATGACCCAAAACTTAACCGCAATTCATTATTTATTCGGCAAATAACGTTTCCATCAGCGTTTATCGCGCAAGCCCTAAACCTGAAGATATTTTGAAGAATGTGGGTAACACATTCGTAATTGATGGACCCCATTGACTTAATAGTATGGAAAAAAGTCAATTGGGACCAGAAACTGTTTGGTTTACCACATTCTTCAAAATATCAAGAATTTATCTTTACCGATCAAGATAAAATCCGATGACACCGAACGTATTTCATTTGAGTCGATATTCATGAAATTCAATCGAATTTCACTGTTTCCATAAGGCATTTTTCATTCGATATCACTTAATTCAGATAAAAACGCGTGGATGGAAACATAGCTAGTGAAACTCCTTTATTTTCCCTATGGAACTCATTTTCATAAAGCACACAGTTAGAAGAACCCTTTAAAGTTTCTTTTACCGATGCATTTCTCCCTTTCCATAACCACCACCAGGATACTTTTGGCAATATTCTGAACAAATAGAGTCCAAACGAGATGGGAAAGGATTGAACTGTCATGCATGCATTCATTTGTATATTAACAGCTGAATTTGTGTAAGATGTTGCATTACAAATAGCTGTCACCGAGAATACTTATTTATTTCTCTGAACAAGTATGAAATGGATGTGTGTAGTTTTCACCAGTTTTAAGGTTCCCAAACATAATTATGAATGGATTTGGGTGGATCATTGTGGCCTCCTTTTATTGCAGCCACTGCTCTTGCATCCAAAAAGTCCTAAAGAATTTTTATGGCGGTTGGCTTAAACCTCAGGGATTAGGGCAGAAACTGCCTGTGGACCAATGAGAAGTCCTGTCCTTCCCGTGCTTAAGTTGTCTGTCAGTTGTGCTAGCATCCTTATCTAATGGTGTTGGACATTTGTTTGTGTTAGTCCACCAAGATCCAATCAAAATGTTGCAAACCTTTCTCCACTGTTGCAGTAAGAGAGGGGCCCGGCCATAAACTGGGCCCTGGAATGTGCTGTTCACACAGAAACAAAGGAAAAGTAGAGCAGTGGAATGGAAAAGCGCCTTCTGTCCGACAGAAGAGCAAAGTCTTTGCAGAAGGGTCAACAGCTTTCATGCATGTCTTTCAAAATAAAAGTCTTGCACTACAGAAAAACATTTTTAATTACATTTTGTGTTGTTGTCGTGACTACATACTCTGGAGCTCAATTAAAACGGTCTCCACGACCTACCAGTTGAGAAACACTGCCCTAAAGAAACTTTCAGTGAACGGTTCTTTAAAGAACCATGTTTGTGAAATGGAAAGATTATATAAGTGGCTTTCACACTTGAGGAACCTTTTAATAGTTCCTAGAACTATTGGCGGAAATACCCGGATTTTGGCGCGTTCGCACCCCAGGAACTAGGATCGATTTTGGAGGAACTAATGTAGCTCCTACTTTACACCTTTTCCACCAAAGCATTTTGAGAGCCGGTTTGGAGCCGATGCCTACTCGCGAACCAGTTCTTTGTGTTTCGACAGCCAAAGAACCGGTTCTCGGCCAGGAAAATTGGTTCCAAAGCGGCAGCAACTCTTTGCTGGACTAGAACTGTTTTTTACCACGTCATGCTTATGTCGGGGGCTGGGGGCGGGGTTATTGTGACAAACAACACGACGGGAATGGGAAAGATAAGACGTATGGCGACGTACACAGTGACGTAACGATGTCGTTCGCTGGGCTCTCTAGTCAGTGGAAAAACAAACAGGTTCTGAGAAGGTTCCCAAGTTGAACCAACTTCGAACTAGCACCAGTTCCGAACCAGTTCTTTTTTGGTGGAAACGAGGTACTTCAGAGTCGGTCTAAACCAGCGCTATTGGAACTATTGAACTGATTGGCCGAAAGCACACGAAACACCAGCATCCGCCATTTTAAAAAAAGGCTGTGTAAACACACAGATTATAGCCTATATATTGACTCCAGAAACTAACTCTACGAACATGGGAAACAGTGATAGATGGACCTCTTGACCTTTACGCTGAGGAGAAAATCCAACGCAACTTTGACGGGACCAAGAGAAACATGATTATGTATTTCTGCTCAGATAGCAACACTGGACATCAACCACACGGCATACGCTAATACCTTTATATACTGTCCTTCTATGTATAACAGTTCTATCTAATAACGTGTTAGACAGGACTGTTAAACAGATCGTAAACTAATAAACACGGAGAATGCAAGCACTGTGTGCTCAGGCTCTGGCTGTCTTAGGTTTCTATTGGAACCGGAGCTTCTAACTGGATCTGCAGTGATGCATCTTGAGACAATAGAAACTCCAATAGGCAAAATATGTTTTTCTAAAAATAAAAAAAAAGGATAGAAATTATAAAGTTATATCCCTTTTTCTTGAAAATATTCTTTATGTATCTCTTGCAATCTTTTACTGGAATAATTAAAAAAATTTAATTGGAAAAAGATTTGGTCCTAATAAGTCTTACTTTTTACCTCACTAATAAGGTAAAATATGGGTTTTTCAAAATAATAAATAGATTTAACCCTGTCAAACATTTCATGATATAAAGCCGATATTGATACAAGATGCTCATTTTGCCAAGTTCACACAGAAACTGTCTATTTTTGTCATGTTTGTAACCTGAACAACTTTGGAATAATATTTATTAAAGATACTATCCAGCAAGATATATCCATAACTTTGTATGCTTCGATTCTGCCCCTACTAAAAATAATGCTTGCTTTGTTATACATTTTATTTATCTTCTTTGCAAATTTTCTACCCATAAAAGTAAGTTTACCAACAACAAAACATTTTTTCAGTGCTTTTGAAAGAATTTAAAATGTATAATACAATTACATCTTCAGTAAGAAAGAAAGCAAGAAGAACGTCTTCAATTTGTACGGACTTTAATTTGTACAATGTAATTGATGAATAGATTAATATCTTACCCTCATGCTCTTTTTCTCTATCTTCTTTTATTTTTCTTTTGTTATTTTTCAGTTTTCAGCTAATCATTGTTAACTCTTATCTCATTTGTATTCTGATGACATGGAACATAATATTAATTAATACATTTTGTATATCGTATACAAAGTTATATATCATAAATGTGTAATCTCTGTATTTAAAAAAAAAATAAAAAACAACTGCAGTGATGCAATGACTTTACCAATCAGCGATTGGCTCTTTTTCTTAGCAAGCGGGACGTATTCTGCCATATTGCGCTTTGGAGTTTGTCCCATTCATAAGTAATAGGAGTGAACCGTCTTTCTATATCTATTGCCGTTAATCTAAGACCAGTGTGCTTCCATAATCACTGTATTTGATTGAATGCTACCTTTTCTGTCTGTCTGCAGCTGAAGCTGTTTCATTCAGAGCTGCTGTCTCAACTGGAGCAGAAACTGGAGTTAGACATCAAATATCTCACCGTGAGTGGAAATTACTGTTTAACTGAACAACATACTGAAATAACTACATTAAAGAGCTCAAACAAATCAACACAGGGTTTGTCAGACACACTTTATATTAGGTGTCTTTATCTAATACTGTATGTACTTACATACAACAAAGTTAAGTAAAAAGTACTCACTGTGTTCATGTTGTATTGCAAATGCTTTTAGAAAAGATTTATATGGAAATGAACTCTTCCTCCTGAACTGTCACTATTGTGCCTTCTCTGAAACCAGAAACATAATACACTGTATGAAAACTTTTTCCAGTCAACGCTGAAGAAGTACCAGAGTGAGAGGAAGTCAAAGGTGGAGTCCATTGAGCGCTGCCAATCACAGCTCAAGAAACTGCGGAGGAAGAGTCAAGCTAGTCGCCATCCCAACAAGTATGGAGACAGAGAGATGCAG